CACACCCAGTTGTATAGCAGTACCATCAGCTGGATCATCCCCTTCCCCCCAAACTTCATGAATCCGTTTACTATCCCATCCGCCCCTGCTGCTTTGTGGCACTGCAGCTTGTTCACACACGCCTCAACCTCGTCCTCAGTGAACTCCTTTTCTAGTTCTACGTTCCCAACGTCTGCCTTCGATGTCTCTTCTTCTTTCTGGGCCCATGCGTCCACCTCCTCCTTAAACACTTGGTCAAAATCTTCATTCTCCGAAGGCACTCCAAGTCTCTTGTAGTGTCCTGCTAGAACTTCCCTTTTTCCCTTCCCACTGCTGACTAGTCCACCGTTCACACCTCGCAATGTTGCTACCCCTGTATCCCCCCCTTGCGCGGTCTTTTTTACCATCCCACTAATCCCTTCCCACATCTGCTTGACGTTCCCCTCCAGGCCTCCGTTGGCCTTCTGCACTACCTCGTCCCTAATGCTCTTTTTCTTCTTTTTCACTAGTCCCTTCACCTGTTTCCTCTTGGCCCTGTACTTTTCCCAACTCTCTTCAGACCCCTCACCCAGGTACTGCTTGAAGACTTCTCTACGTTCCCCTATTTCTTCTTTCAGCTCGTCATCCCACCACTTAACCCGATACCCCACATCGTACCACCTTTTTTCCCACTACTCTCTCTGCCGTTGTGTTCACTATGGACTCCCATCCTTCAATCACCCTGTCCCCTGCTGCCTGTACGTCTACCTTTCCGTCTTCGACGCTTCTCAGCAGTTTCCTGAAGGGTTCTACATTACCAGCCAATCCCTTCTGGAATTCATCGCGTGTCCCCTCGTCTCCCAAACGCTCTACTTTCCACCGGAACACTTTCCTCTTTTTCTTACTCTCCGTCTTTCTAGATCGGTCGATGTTTGCCCATATGAGGAAATGGTCGGTCGAGCCTATATCTATCGCACTTACGTGCAGCTCCGGGACCTGTGTGCTCCCCCTATCTACCAGGATGTAGTCCAGGATCGAGTATTCATTGCAAACTGCCCTCTGCCTGGTGAACTCTGGCTTATCGCTTTCCCTCCTACCGTTCAACACCATCAGCTCGTTGCTTCCCAAGAATTCAAGCATCCTCACTCCGTTGTCATTCACTTTGTCTTCTCCGTGCTGCCCGATCGCCTGTCCTCTACTGCAAGCTTTCCCTACTCTGGAGTTGAAATCGCCCACCATGACAACTTCTCCCTTCCTACTGAACCTCTGGACATCTTCCCCAATTTGTCCGAAGTTCTCCTGCGCCTTGCTTGCGACTTTCTTCGACGACGGTGGGACGTATACGTTCCCTAGAAACAAATCTTTCTCACCCCGCTCCCCAGGTATCTTAAGCCATAGGCTTTCCTCGAACTCCGTTTTCACCACTACTTCCACCACGTCAAACAAGGGGGGGGGGGGGGCAAAATTGCCCCGGCCAAAATCTATCAAACAGCGAAAAACACACCAAGCCTTTGGGGGGGGGGGGGGACTTATAGTCCCGCATGCCGTAATTGTTAAACCAATGACCCCCCATTCCTATAAAGTCGGGATGGAACACCCCGGGTTCTCCCCGGACCAGGCTCTACCAAGCCTTTGGGGGGGTTCTAAATCAAAACAACGGTTCCCCCCCCTTCAAGTTGGGGCTACATATTTGCCCACCCATTCCATCCCCGGTTGCCCTTACAAAATACGTCCCAACCCCCCAAAGCAAAAAAAAACTGAACATTTTCTCCAAAAAAATTTTGTTTAAAAGGGATCCCCCCGGAGTAGGATGACCCTTGAAAGCCCCCCC